CTATATTCTTTTCTACTTATCTATCATATTTAATGATCGTCTGTTAGAATATAAAAAATTGCAAATAAAAATCCAAAATTTCAATAAAAAACACAAAACTTTCATTAACAAATATACATTCGTAACATATTACTGGGTGTTGTAGGTGCCTTGTCTTTTTCATACCTTTGTTTTTATACCAAATTGTATACATTTTGATAAGAACTGGAAAAGTTATAACATTTGAAGTTACGAAAATCTATCAATTTTGTCATTGTTTTTTCAAGAAATCCTTATAAAATTTTCTACTAAAAATATCATGTAAAATTTTGATTTTTTCACCATTAAAAAATAAAACAATCATATTCTAACATTAATAAATGTATTATTTAATTTGTTTGTGCACTAAATGTTAAATCATTGATATATTAATAAAGCTTTATCATACGTATTTTTATTAAATGTTGCAAAAGTATAATAAATTAAAATTCAAAATATATATATATATAAAAAAGTGCAACTTTCAGCATAAAATTCAAAATTCTATGTAGATGGAATGTAAAAATAATAATCATAAGAATACAGTAAACTCCCAATATCTCAAACCTCAGATAACTCGAACTTTCCTGTAACTCATAGTACTTTTGATTATTATTAGTAGTACACATATAATTTTGTTTACTGTTCCCAGCCGGCACAACTCAGAAAATAGTTACGCTTGGTTTTTGTTGCGTTTTTAAAACCTTCTAAACAAAAAGAATAACACGTATCCTAAATGGTTTTTATTCCGTGAAATTAACTACTACTATTTACCATAAATACCAGTTAAAGTATTAATGGTTTCACCGTTATGGAAACGTAGTATTATATTTTAATAACTTTCCGTAAAGAATGTGAAACCACTGGTAAAAATATGCGACATTTAAATTTGACTTTAAAACCTCAAAAATCACGCGTTAAACTCTAGTAAAACTGCCCGTAATATACACGTGCCTTTGGTTTACGCCTGGATCGTGAAAAACACGTGCCTATATAGGTTTTATTTCCGAAAAAGAAACTAGATGTGCCGATAGGGTTATATCTTGTTACTATATTATATATGCATGTTACTATATTATATATGAATCGATTCATATATATCATATATATCCTATTGTCATATATATCATATTATGATATATAATATAGATACATGCATCTATAATATAGTAACAGGGATTAGGTTATTGACTGTTAACTTCAAAGAAAATAAAATTACATATATATAAAAATAATGAAAATTTAGATTTATTGACTGATTTTTATTATATTATTACTGTATGAGTATAAAATCTTAATTTTATAATTTTATTTCCTGACATTTATATTTTAAGTATTACGTTTAAAAAAAAACTTAAAATATAATACTTAAAATATAAATGACAGTAAATAAAATAGGATTTTATACTCATACAGTAATAAAATAAAAAAATTAGTTAATCAATCTAAATTTTATTATTTTTATATATATCTAATATGACATAAAAAATATAAAATACATAAAAATAAAGAAAATTTAATGACATATAAAGTAAAAAAAAACATGTCAAGACATATTATATGTCGTATATATATCATATAATATGTCATATATATATCATATAAAGTTATATATAGTTTTTCTTTACTATATAAACAATCTTTGTATATTTTATTTATCTATATACATATATAAATAAAAAACACATATGTTATCTAACAATTATCTAAAAAGTAATTGTGACCTCTTCATACGAGAATCGCCATTATTAAAACACCTTTTAATAATTTTTATAATGACATTTCGCGTCATTAGACATAATAAAAAGGTTTTTCAAAACTGAAAGTGATAAATTTTCTTATTTTCGGAACAGAAGATCATAAGACGTCTTATTGTAGTTCATTTTGTGAATAAATCGAGCGGGCGTGAACTGAACGTACATAAGATGTCTTTTTTCCGTCGTGTGCCCACTGGGGATACTGGTGAAATATATTTATATAGTATAAAATAATGATTCATTAGTAATTCACTCATGAATTGCTTAAATTGACACAAATTCTATGTAACTTCTTACCGCATATTATACAAATTGATAATGGTGGTTTGTTTTTTTATTTCAAGTTTGCTTTCAAGACTGGTCGGTACCAAACTTAAAAAAAACGATTTGAAATCATATTTTTCAAGAACGAATTTGTTTCAAGTTAGTTTCTTGCATAACACTTTACTCAGACTTCAGATTTGAAGTATAACTTGAAATTTCAAATTCGCTTTTTGCATTCTGAAAAGATTTTTGCTTTTTCAAGTTGGCTTTTTAAGTCTAACTTGAAAACGGCCGGTTTTCAAGTTAGATTTGAGTTTTCAAGTTAGACTTCTTTCTTATTTCTTTCTTATTTGAGTTCAAGTTCGCTCTTTTTATTTGCTCAAGTAAAATTTTACACTTGAAGTTTGACTTCAAATTGCAAGTTCTTCAAATGCTTCTTGCATTCCACCCTATTTTCTGTTAAAATTGTGGAACGATCGATTTTACGTAAACGGAAAGAACTTTAGAATTGCGAAAATAGTTATTTAAAGAAGCAGAAGATTTGAGAACCAAAGGTAAATATGCTAAAGTTGTATATAATAATCTTGTAACACCCGACTTTTAAGAAATTCTTTTATCTTAGAGTTATTGATTTTATCTTTATCATTATTATTATTACTATTATAATTATTTTTAAGTTTTATTATTTTTAGATAGTAAAATGAATTCAAATCGCTCTAAAAATTTTGATATTTTTTAATTCAATGATTTTATACTGAAATAAAGAGTCCGATCTGGACCAAAGTTATTTTAGTGAAACAAATGCTTTACAAATGCTTTACAAATGCTTTACAAATGCTTTACAAAGCAACTGCAGCTAGTTTTTTAATTTTGAAATAAAAGAATATCTTGAGTGTGTTGAATTTAATGAAATTTATATAAATATAAGAAGTTTAAAAAAAAAAAAATTTAAAATCTTTGCAATAGTTTTGAGGAAAATCTAACTATTTTTAGTGTAATATGCCTAACTGAAACTTGGTGTAGTTGTGATATTTTAAAATACCGGGCTATAATTTGATTTCATTAGGGCGGAAAAAAAATAAACACGGCGGTGGTTTAATTATTCATGTAAAAGAAAACCTACGGTATTATATTATGCGTGACATTAGTATTTCTGACGTCAATAAGGAGGTTTTAACGATTGAAATATTGATCAATAAAACTAAAAACATCGTGATTAGCTGCCCACCTACTGGCGAAATTAAAATATTTAGTACATTTTTACATGATGATGTTATAAATAAAAGCTTTTTTTTCCTGATGACTTAAAAATACCAAAAATTATTCTTATATTTAAAGGAGAAAAAACTAATGTAAAACACTATCGTCTAATTTCTATCCACTCTGTATTTTCTAAAAATTTTAAAAGAATTTTGTACAAAAGAATATACAATCATCTTTTATCGAACAAATTATTATATAACATGCAAGATGGATTTAAAAAATAAAATTCAACAGAGCATGTTATTATTCAGCTCGCAAGAAGTATATCTTACTAATTTAACAATTTTAAATTCGCATTGGGAATATTTATTGATTTAGCGAAAGCGTTTGAAACTATTGATCATAAAGTTCTTGCTAAAAAATTAAAGTACTATAATATGGTATTATATGGTATAACAGGCAAATGTTTTAAAATGTTGAAAAGTTATTTAACTAATCGTAAACAATTTGTTTACGCCGATGAAATATTTTTATCAAATTTGTTAAATATTACATGTACAGTTTCTCAATGATTCATATACGGACCTCTTCTTTTCCTTATTTATTTTAATGATCGATACAAAGTCTCTATACCGATACCGATAAAATAGTGTCAATGACACTAATTTATTTATGTCACACAAAAGTATTCCTACTCTATTTCATTACATGAAAATCGAGTTAATCAAAATATCTGATTGGTTTTAAACAAACAAATTATCTCTTAACATTGATAAAACTTAATGGATTTTTTTCCATCCTCTTATCAAAAATATAAACTGCCAATTAACATACCTTATCTTGTTATTGACAGTATACAAATTAAACAAGTAACAGTAACCAACTTTCTAGGTGTTTGTATAGATGAAAATCTTAGATGGAAAAATCACATTAAAAACTTATCAAATAAAATTTCAAAAATTATAGAAATCCTTGGGGCAGTACAATTAAAAATAAACTTAAACCTCTTTATTGTCAGGAGAAGCATGTAGCACGTCATATATTTTAAAGACCGTTATACTCTTGTCAAGCCTCTATTATTTGAAATGAAAGTTTTTAATATATATGAGCTTAATATTTTGAATATTCTTTCTTTTATGTTTAGATGTAAAATTAATTCATCCCCGATTTTCCATTACTTGTATTCATCAAAAAAAAAAAAAAAAATACATTTTACGCAATGATAATTTTATAAAGCAGCCCTTTTTTCAAACAAATCTTTTTATTGATTATCGCGGACCATTCTTGTGAAATAATATAGTTTTAAAAAATTTTACTGAGAATTTTATTCATCAAAGTAACTACTTTTCTTTTAAACGAAAGCTTAAAGAACTAATTTTTACAATCGAAGATTTAACAATATACTTTTGATATTTTTTTAGTGATTTTCCTTTTTACCCTCTATTTAATCATTAATTTATAAAATTTATATATGTATCATTAACAACTGTAATATGTATTAATGTATCTTGTATTAGTCACGGAATATTTTAAATTTCTTATTTTGTTAACTTATTTTTTATCTTGTATATATCTTATAAATTTTAACACGAACATTTCTTAGCGATACTCGACGACAAGACCGTATGGTCTTCTACGAGTTTCCGCGTTATTTTATTATTTAATAACGATCATTATATATATATATATATATATATATATATATATATATATATATATATATATATATATATATATATATATATATATATATATTATTATTATTATTATTATTAATATTATTATTATTATTATTATTATTATTATTATTATTATTATTATTATTATTATTATTATTATTATTATTATTATTATTATTACATACTTGTATTTTAAATATTGTAACAAAATGCTTATTTAAAATATAATAAAAAAAACAAAAAAAGAAAACAAAAAAAAAAATAATCTACTTATCCGATCAATTCATTTGATTTAATTGTCTCATATCTTTAAACAAATTAAATAAAATCCACTATCAATCGAAACTTGTTTAAAACAAGTTTTTGTTTTTTTTTAGAAATCTTCTTAATTTTTATCATTATTTATAATAATGAAAACAACTTAGATTGTTTTGTAATTATAAACAGGCAATGGTTAAAAAAACTTCTGCTAATTAAGAATGTCCCAAATAACATTTTGTAGTATTCAACCGGATACTGGGTAGCTGAAAATTGAAAGTAGAACAAACTAAAACGTCACATTATTATTAGAAGTTTTTTTTTTTATCAATCAGACAAAAAATTTATGAAATTAAAATTATTTTCTTAATTAAAAAAAACATAAATTCAAATCAGATTTCCGTTAGAGAATTAACCTCAATAGCCCGGTTAAGTAATTGAGGTAAAAATATTTACTTAATTAACTAATCTTAATTAAGCTGATACCTTCTACATGTGTTCATTGTTAACTATATTGATTGCTTTTCCTCAATATTATTTCTTTGAAAGTTTAATTTCAAAATTGGGAAGTGATTGTCTGGTGGCTCAATTGCTCGACAGTTGTTTTGTGTGAAAAAAATCTACAACCATTTGAAGTAAGCAACCCCTTAAGTCTTTTTCTAAATTTAGCATCAAAAATTAAATAAACAATAGGATTGACAGCTGCATGAAATCCATAAAAAATTTCAGAAATTGTCCTGAATAACCGTATAGTATTTTTGTTTTTAATATTTTTCAGACCATACATGTCATTAATAATCCAAACTAATCTGTTAGGAAGAACAAGAATCGCAAAAAAAATTACAATTGCAACCAACATTGCAAGAATCTTTTTATTTTTTTCTAAACGCAATTTTTTCTTAGCATCGTTTAAAACACTACTTTTACAAAATTTTTTTTTTAACCATAAAACAGTTGAAGTATACAGAACTACAAGCAAAATTATTGGAAAAAGATAATAGAACAGAAACAAAATCCACGTGTAAACAATTGAATTCTTATTGCTCCATTCTTCTGAACAAGTGTTAAATTTTCCTAACTGAAGAACTATCAGTGGTGGGATAACTGAAAGAATACCCAAGATGATGTTCAGATATTTTATCATTTTACACGTTGAGCTCTTTACAATTGATTTAAACGAATGCACAGCATTAGTATATCTTTCAACAGCAATTAAAACGATAAATCCTACTGCAATATTGGCGCTAGCTGCTAATGCTGTACGAAAAGTCTTACACAAAAATAAGCCATACACCCAATGACATGTCAAGGTTTCTGGTATGCTTATTATAAGTTGAACTGCAGCAAATACAAAATCTGAGATAGCTAAGTCTAATACTAATTGATTAAACCTGGAAAATTCCTTACGATGAACGAATGAAATCAAAATAACAAATGTATTCCCGATTAGCGCTAGTGTGGATGATAATATGTTGCTAAAGCCGATAACACTGCCCAAAAGATAGTCGCATTTAAACTTAGTTATTTTATCAGATTTATGAAAGCTGCAGAGTTCTTTCATTTCTGAGTTTTCCTCGTCACATGTGCAGTTTTTTTCAGGTATTTCAAATAATTTACATAATTCTTTAAGGGTCATGTTTGAAATAAGGGTTTGTTGTGTATCATTTTCTTCATTTAAAACAGTTTCGTGTATTATGCTTGTATTAAAATAATATTCACTTGAGTTATATACTTGATTCATCATTAAATGGACGTCATTCATGCATATAGTGGTAATAAAAAAAGTCATAATAAAAAAACACATCTTTTTTAAAACTAAAATAAAACTGATATAAATTTTTACGTTACGCAGCTGACAAACACACACATAAACATACAAAACTTTCTATGCGATGTTCAAAATGTCAAATTTGAGCCGTTAGAATTATTGATTTATAACATTTTTTATAAGATTATGAACAGACTAACATTGATGAAGTCACTGAATTTCATTTAACACTGACGTCACGTTTTCTTTCATTAATTAAAACAAGTTAAATTTATCAATAAGCCTTGGTTGATTTAACCATTTGAAACTTAAACCAGCGTATTTAAATGAGTAATCATCACATAATAGATTTAAAGGAAGAGACGAAGATGGAGGGTACTTGTAAGATTATCGTTTAAAAAATTGATAAACAAAGCATTTAAAAATTGTTTCGTACTAACCGCCTGCATTGAGGTATCTAAAACTTAGTTCTCACTTCGGAAAGAGTTTTTTTAAAACCATTATGCTTACCAACTTGTAAAAATAAATAATCAATAACTTTGACATATAATTATTATGTGTAATAATGATTAGAAATTTATCATTACGTGGAATTGGTAGATTATTTAATTTTCCATAACATTAAATAACTTCACCAACTAATTTAAAATCTCGTTTTAATTGTTTAAAATTTTTATTTTTCATGACATCATGTAGTTCCAATTGTAACTAGTGTGTCTTTTTACGTTTAATTTTATCAACTAATAATGTAGTCACATTGTGGTAGACTTTTAAATTCGAGTTTTCAGTTTATTACAACGTAAAACCCTCCCAATAACTCTCTTTAATTGTTTACTGCTACTAAAACCTTTAATATTAATAAAATCAAGACTAATGCTTAAAGATTTGCTGGCAGCTAGTAAGCACATGCTACTTTTATTAAATTAATGAATTTGTCATAATATTTATCCCACGTTTGACCAAGTACTTTTGTTTCAGTATTGCATTCATAATTGTATGATAGGAGGTTTTTTTTAAGCTTAATTAACTTTGTATATTGATCTAAACATTGATTAACTTCATTACTTTAAAGGTTTAATAATCAACATGCAACAAATGCATTATATCTCGGTATTAATATCAGTATATTTTTGCAGGTGAGTTGTTTATGTTGCACTCAGTAAGAAGGGTGACTATGTTACACCAAAAAAATTAATTGTTAATTAAATTGCTTCAAAAATTAATCATCCAAAAAAAACAATACTTTTTTTCCATCCCACTTTCCCATCCCATCACTTTTGTAAGAAACTCATTAAAATGATGTATAAAAGTCAATAAACATTTCTTAATCAATATATCCGCTTTTACTGGAATGTACTTTTGCACCCAAAGGAAATTTAGATACATCTAGAATCTTTGCTCCTTTAATTATGAAAAAATAGTGGTTATCTATTCCGTGCTGCATTGACAGTGGCCAGGTATGTTGTTAGTGTGCCACGTTTACCAATAGTTAACTTTTGTACCTCACAAGAGCCCTTTACACAAAACCACTTGGTACAGATGAAAGGCCGCTTTCATCATAATTATAAATTAAATTTTATATACTTATTATTTACTATATATACATTTTAGACTATACATTATAATAAGCTTGTTTACATGTGTCTTTATATGTGTTTACATCAGAGTCACGTTCATAATTAAAACTTTAAAAAGTTTTAAAAACTAACTGTCAACTAATATATTCTGAAAAAACTCTTATAGATAAAATCTGAAGCTTTGAAGTACATTTTGAGCACAACTTGGTTTTCTTTCAAACGGCGCTCCATAGTTTAAAAGTTTGCGTGATTAAAGAACCTAATTTATCTTAAGTATTATCTTTTTTTTAACAACGAAGTTGCCCCCCATTTGAGCGTGTGATAACAATCATTACGTGACGATTCCGAACGAAAAAACATAGCAACTTAAATTGTTATTTTAAAAATTTTGACATCAATTTATCAAAAAAAATATACTTTGTGATCAAAACATTTCTTATTTTGATTTTTTTTTCGACGATAAGCATTTAAGCATTAAAAAATATATTTTCAACTTCGATGTTTACTCGCAATATTTAAAGAATAATCAAAAGAAAATATGTAAAACACTTATTTAATAATATTTTACAAATATCAGTAAAAAAATTTTAAAAAAAACCTTATAAATAGATTTTTTAGTTTTTATTCATTATTATGTTAAAGCTGAGTCGCATAAGTGACGAATTCGCTCTGTGACGAATTCACCCCGCCTTACCCTATTTTATTGATCTAGCTTTCAGGCATATTAATGTGGCTAGAGGGGGCACCAAACCATCACCTTAACTCCCTAAAAATACACATATTTTCCTAAAATTATTTATATTTAAAACACATTTATAATTTTTATATGCAAAAAGTTGTTGTTTTTTTTATTCTCAATTACCAGTAAACATAAAAGGTCTATCTTAGTGTTGAGGGTGGATGTGGTGGTAAAGGTTAAACATACCCTAGTACCAAAAAAGTTTAATTCTTACAAACACTTTTATGTTGATTAAAACAAGTGAAATTAAAATGAATATTAAAAATTAAATTCTATTTTATTGCAACATATATTAGACAAAGGTGTATACACTGACTTAGGGATGTGAGGTCTACCACTCCCAAAAATAATTTGAACCATTTTTTTAAAGGATTATTAATCAATATATAAACAATGTCTGAAACAACATATAAATAAATTAGGAAGATACGATATCCATAATTAACATGCATGTTTATTATAAAAGCAACTCATTGAGTTGTTTTCATATAAACATGTTGCAATCAGCCATTTAATAATAAATCAAGCAACACTAAAATTACCTCTTGCCATTTTCATATGTCACATTTTGTTATATAGTAGCTTATAAGTACACGCTTTATCTAGATATATACTAAAAAATAATTGAAACAGACACCAAAAAACAAAGAAATGCTCCGTAATATTTATTTTTGTACAAAAAAGTAAAATTTCAGAACGTTTCTTTTATTTTGGTTTGGCGGAAATGGTACAAACATTCCTCAAATGCTTCGAGAATTTTTGTTCTAGTAACGTTCACATGAGAGTATATTTGTTCATGTTCCATGTTCCATGGAATGTTCAAACAAATATCGTCTAGTGTGAACTGCCTAAAAACATATCGACACCGCATTAAAAACCCTCAGACAATGTAATAACATTTCTTTTCTTGTTCTCCCTAAATAAAGCCCCAAGCTTCTATTTCCGCACTGTATACCCGCACTTTACTAGTTAAAAAATGCCATTTTTTTGCATTTTTACCAACCCCCTTTAAATAAAAACATGTTTACAAAAAAAAAAAGTTCCTCAAAACAAAAAATTCACCCGATTTAAATGTGTCAAATACCCGACTATAAACCTAAAAAAACCGACTATAACTTGAAAATCGTTAACTTTGAGGAAGGAGGCGGGTATAAGACCCCATACATATATATATATATATATATATATATATATATATATATATATATATATATATATATATATATATATAATATATATATATATAAATATATAATATATAAATCTTAAGATAAAATCTTGAGATTAAAATAAAACAAAACTTCTCGTTGATGCCTTGGAACCATTTTCCTCGTTATAATTTTACATTTAATCGTTTACCTAAAGATTATTTTGTTGGCAATGTTGTGAGCACAACATTGCCTTTTAACGAAATAACCTTGAGGTAAACATAAAATCTTGAGATCCGTGAACACATCTATAGATGTGTACACTGATCACCAACTTATCCATTAATCAGGTTTTAGAAGTTCATCTGCACGTCTATGTTAAAGGGGACAACACCCCTTATTGTCAGCACTGGTTGACGGTGGAATGTTGTTTGAGAATTTGTTTGCAATACACTTTACAAATAAAACCAAAAAATTTCATAGACATTGTATCCCATTTTGCGCACAACATTGCCTTAGCAAAATAATCTTTAGGTAAACGATCAATTGTAAAATTATAATGAGGAAAATGGTTCCAAGGCATCAACGAGAAGTTTTGCTGGAAAAATTAAAACAGTGACTCGATTCTTTTTATAAATACTTAACTTATCAAAAAATAAAAACAATAATCAAACAGTATCAACAAAGAAAATCATTTTTATTTGATAAAGTGAAAGAAATCCTTATTATTGTGTTTATAAATATTGGTGTATTAATATGTAACTTATCAATATTTTTGATAAGTTGTCATAATAATTTTGGCTTTTCTGTTTCCTCAAATGTCATAATAATTTTGGCTTTTCTGGTACCTCAAGTTTTCTGATAATATCATAAGTGACTTATTTGGTCATTTGTTATATAATAATATTGATAAATATATATATAATAATATATATAAAATGCTATATGTAATAAGCATTTATCAATCCAGAACTTGCTTCGTGTCCGGAGGTTAGCTATCTCAAAGACCATAAAATGCTGAATCTGTCTCTGATCTATACAGATTTTAACCCCATCAATCTATTGCTGACTTGTTAACAAGAGTTAACAAGTCAGCAATAGATTGATAGGGTTAACAAAAATAGGTTCTGTCATACATTAGATGAAATCTAACTTGAATTAACCATTTTCTTTTACTGATTTTGCTTTCTATCTCTATAAATATTATATTCGTCCTGGTATTGAAAACTGTTGTCATATTTTTTAATTAATTTTCTGTTAACTCCAAACCTAATTAGTGTTTGCTTGCAGCCTTGTAAAAGAGTTTAATTTTATTTTTTAACAAAAATTTTAACAAGAAAATTGAATAATAAAAACATGTTAAATTACTATGTTTAAATTACTATGTATAAATGAATAATAAAGTTGGATTAAGACTTTCTTATTAAGACTCGTGATTTATATAGGATGCCCGTGTTTTTAGAAATTTTTGTGCTTATATAATCAGTATGGTAATTCCAAGTAATGTTTTCATCAAGATAAACACCTAAAGATTTTGTAACAAAATCTCTTTTTATTTCCTTTTGATTGATAAAGATTTGAGGTAATTTTGATTGGAGAAATAGCTTTTTTGTAATCACTAGAGACTAGATCTCTCCGGTCACATGATTGCGTGGAATCTAAAAAAAAAGAAAGAGAAAATGACATT